CTGTAAGCTCTCGAACCTTGGGAGAGTTATTTAGTATATGTGGCTTTGTTTCTTTGTAGCCAAAGAAGCATATAATAGCATGACACTGAGGGCTTTCGTCAAGAGTGCATGAATTGATACATGTAAATGTGCGTGGAAGGGTAAGTGCTCTAAAAGTTTTAGCTGTTATTCATCATCCTCATTATCCAAGAAAGCTTGTCAGGGTATCTGACAGAGGCCATCTTTCTAATTCTATAGTCATTCACTAGGTGAGCCTATTCACTCCTGTGGGTTCAACTGCTGTCTATACGTTTGTGTAAAATCTATTCATTCTTCTCCTGAGCACACAGCTAGATGTAAGTGGCCAGGATGGGCCATATGACATGTTCTGGCCATTACAATTTGGATAGAAATGATGCACACCGTGTCTAGTCCTGAGAAATTTCCACACTCTCAGGTAGTTGAATACATAGGGATCAATGAAGGACTCCAAGAAGCCCCAGGGGGGGGTGGAGCCATGAACTGGAAGAAGTTTAGATCCCAGAGTCAACCCTTAGGGGAGAGCTACCTAAAGAGCCACCAGAATGAAGCATCCACGCTGGGCTTTGCGTGACCAAGAAATAAACACTGACTGTGTTGAGCCACTGGGATTTCACAGCCTACAATGACTAATATAGCGACTCCCTGGTATATCTCTTGCTCAGACTTTGCTGCTGAGCCTCAGAACTATGCATTGTGCTTTCTATTCAGCCTTTCCACACGGACCTTCAAATACGTAATAAGTCAGCTCATGGCTTCAGGATCAAAGCTTCTGTGTGGAAATACCAGTCCTGCTAGGTGACCAGCTAGAAAACCATGAGTGAATTACATAAACAACACATAACTGTATATACTTCAGAGTTGTTCCAAAATTAAATGAGTAGATGTACATAAAACACAGCAGTCCCTGGTGCATAGTAAATGCTCAAAAAAATGCCAAACATTATGTCCATCCCACCCCAAATTTGCTCTTTCCCCGGGGTTTTCTGTATGAATAACTGCCAGCTTCCCCACCATCCAACAGCTATTAAAAACAGAAACTTGAAACTTAATCTTGAGTCATCTTTTATTTTTTATCATCCCATGTGGAAAACATCACAACAACTGATGGATTATGCTAAGTTTTTTTTTTTTCTTTATTGATTTTAGAGACAGAGGAAGGGAGAGGGAGAGAGAGCTGGAAACATCGATGAGAGAGAACATTGGTTGACCACCTCCTGTACGCCCCCCACTGGGGATCGGGCTCACAACCTGGGCATGTGCCCTGACCGGGAATCGAACCAGCGACCTCTTGGTGCATGGGTCGATGCTCAACCACTGAGCCACACCGGCCAGGCATGCTCCCTAAGTATTTCTCAAATTTGTCTACTTTTCTCTATCATCTAAAGTGTATCCTCTTCATCTTCGTTAGCGCTACCCGTGCACATGGCTCTATTCTAGTTGCATCCTTACTTGTCCTTTCAAACCTGTTCTCGTGCCTTTCAAATGTGTTCTTCACATGGAAATGTTAACATTCTTCTAATTACAATTCAAGTCTGATACGGTAACTCCAAAATCCAAAATGTATTAACAGCGGTCATGGATCTTTGGTAAGACCCAACCGCCCACCCACCACTTCAGCCTCTCCCCGCAACCCATTACCTGGCTTTATCACCAGAGTTCAGTCACTCGGGCCCTTTGCTGTCCTTTTTAAACTTGCTGTAGATTGTCCCACCTTTGACATTTTCAAATGCAGGCGACATCTGCTTAAAATGAACTTTCTTCCCACCCCCCGTTTACCTAATTAATGAACCATTCTTTACATTTTAGCTGAAGTGCTACATCTCCAAGAAAGTCTCATTCTTAGCAGTCTCAGCCCACACTAATTAATTAATGATGCCCACACTAATTAATGATGCACTCGCAAAGCACACTCCTTCATTAAACTCTGTACACTTGCCACTATTTGTACACACGTGACTTCTCAGCCAGCCAGAATGCTTTATGAGTCCAAGGACCCCACGTGGATGGGATTCTGCCTCGTATACTGGCTTGAATGGAAGAGGGTCTAAGTATGTTTTTATAAGCATAAGAGTCTGTTTAGGTGCCTTTGTATTTGTATATCTCATATGAATTTTCACTTGGTTGGGTCCGGAGGAAAGTCCTACAATTAATTCATGTACCTAAATAATTTTATTTACAAATGTAGAAAATCTTACCTCTTTGATTTCAAAATCCAGTTGATTTGACACACACAAAGGAAAATCTATGGAATAGTATCATCCAGCCTGTCCTAGTACAATGAGTCTAAGACCTCCATTGGTGGGGGACAGGTTATTTGGGTCAAAAAGTAGCATGTTCCCCTGGAAACAGATAGTGAGTCCTCTCATGTTCTAAACATCAAAAAATGTCATCTTTCGTGGCTCATATGGCGCCAGACCAGAACAAGAAATATAGGAGAGGAGGTGAGAAGCGCACTGGAGTGCAGAATTAACCTGGTTGCTTTTATATCAAGAAAAGGTTTGGATACAAATTTTTTTTTTTTTGGTATGTGTCCCTAGCAGGAACTGAACCCGGGACTCTCTGGTCCACAGACTGATGCTCCTACCGCTGAGCCAAACAGGCCCAGTGATCCTACTTCTAGGAATATACCCTAAGAAGCCTGAAACACCAATCAGAAAGAATCTATGTACCCCCATGTTCATAGCAGCACTATTTACAATAGCTAAGATCTGGAAACAGCCCAAATGTCCATCAGTAGATGAATGGATAAAAAAGCAGTGGTACATATACACAATGGAGTACTACGCAGCTGTAAGGAAGAAAGATCTCTTATCCTTTGAGACAATATGGAGGGACCTGGAAAGTATTATCCTGAGCAAAACAAGCCAAACAGAGAAAGACAAGTTTCATATGATCTCACTTATTTGTGGAATATAATGACCATAACAGTCTGAGGAGTGGGGTAGGCCCAGAGACGTGGAAGTGGGGTACAGACTGACAATCCCCAGGAGAGAGGGTGGTGGGGGAGAGATAAACCACAGAACTTATATGCATGTTGCATGAACAATGGACATGGACAACAAAGCTGGGGACAGGGCAGGGAGGGAGGGGGGAATTAGTAGGGGGAAAGGGAGAAATATCTGTAACAAAAATAAATTAATTTATCAAATTCTTCAAGCAAGGGGAAAAAAAGAAAAGGTTTGTGTTTATATTGGTTCTAATTTTGGTGAAGCACATGCTGGGGGAGGGGGACGGAGGATCCTGTGAATGGTGCGATCTAGAAGAGTCTGCTCTGGGGAAGAAGCACTGTGGAGTAGGCTCAGCTCACCCACTGGGCCTCAGTGATGAGGTTTCGAGTCTCGCTCCACACCTGCCAACCGGTTGGCGCAATGTGTGAATTTCTCTCAGTAACATGTTTTTCTCATTTGTCAAATGGAAATGCTGGAGCCCAGGTCATTCGGTGTTTATGACACCCCTAGCTCTCTGGGAGGCTCCGGGGAGCTCAGAGTCTCCCTCGGGTAACACCGGAATAACTGATAAAATCTATGTTCCCAGCTATGCCTTGTGACTCCGTCTAGCGCTCCTTCCATCAATTCTTCCAAAAGTGTCTTTTCCTCTAAAAAAAATAAGCACAATACGTGGGTAGTGCCAAGATATAAACGAGTTAAACTTGGGCTACATTCTACTAAGTGCTCTTAAGCGTTTTGAGTTCTCTGAGATGATGCGTTTCGAATTTAAACAAACAGAAGACATTCTCTGTCTTAGAGAGTTTTGTGGTCACATTTTCCAGAAGCACTGAAAAAACAAACAAACAAAAATAGCCAAAATAAGTGGCCCTAATTCGACAATACTAGCACTTTCTTCGGCCATCAGTCAAAGAGGAAACATTCTGATACTAGCCTTTGGCAAGAACAGCTTTGCATTAGTCCCCAAAGCTGTGGGGTTTTCTACGCTTCTTCGGACTCGTGACCAGTGATTCTGTCGCCTTCCCTGGTTCTAATAAAACCCAGTGATGGGTTTTGGATTACATTCATTCCAAGAGGACTCCTTGTCAGTCCTTGAGTGGACTTTGTTGTCCACAGCCGCTTGCAATGAATGTGGGGGCAAAGGTCTCTGGTTACACCCACCACTGAAATCAGACTCAGCTACACTACATGCGGAACATATTATAGGGTGGAATCCGGCATTTGTCCCCACAGGATGAAGGGAGAGCCTTGCAACTATTCCCTGTCTTTATTTCTGGTGATTCTATCATCCATTGCGTCCTACACTGGAAACCGCCAGGGAGTCTGAGCAACACTGACCTGCCCAGAAAATCAGATAGCATGTAGCAAAGGAGTCAGACTGAGGCTTGGGAATCTTTTCTCCAAAAGAAGAGAGGTCGAACAAGTTTAAGTACAAAGACTTATAGATCCCTCCAAGTATTTTCCCCTCCTTAATAGTTCCAGCCAGTGCCTTATTATTATTCATCCCATGTTTGAATAATGGAACACTTAGATCACTGTATTCATCAAGGGAAGGAAACAGTGTGTATTCTCAAAAGCACTTAGAGTAGAGCCCTCTCCCTCCGCGAGGCCATACTTCACTGAGTTTCCCTAATTGCTAAATGCACGGCTCTGGCCTGAAATTCAAGAATTTGAAGAATTGTAGAGCATGCCCTGACCGGTGAAATCAGCCCGCCTCCCATTCCAGGGCCTTCATTACCCACGCAAACCAGTCCAGTCCGAGATGACGGCAAACAGTGTGGAGATTTTAGATCTATTTACATAAATACCGGATTACAGGAGCCCCCTAGATGCCTGACACGACACCACAGACAGTACCAACCTCCCATGTCCTACATTCTTCCTACAGACACATACGTGTGATACAGTGTAACGTCTCAATTAGGCACAGGGAGAGCTGAACAATAACTACTACAATACAACCACGGTAGCAATATACTGTAACAAACATTAGGTGAAGGTTGTCGCTCTCTCAAAATACCGCACCGTACTCACCCTTGTATGACGACGGTGATGTGAGGTGAGGAGATGCCAAGACCCCCCTGAGTCTGTCACACGGCCGTCACCTGCCGACGGGGGCCTGGCGTCGCTGGTGTCAGGGGACCCTGTGCTGAAGTCCCCGTCCAGGCTGTCTGCCCTCGGCCAGCAGGCGCTTCCAGTCCGTGTCTTCCCCGCAGCAAGGGCCGCCTTCTGCAGGGTACGGGGCCCTTCCCGCGCGCACGCTGGCCACACTCGGCAGTGTGCGGTGTGACAGCAAAGGCAGCCGGATTCCCTTCTTCCTTCAGCTTCCCGGGCAGGACACGCTCTCGCCGCCGATCCGCAGCCTGGCTACTGCTCCTGTTCCCGGGGAGTGGAGACGCGCACCTCTCCCTTGGAGGGGCACCTGCCAGCCGGTGTCACTGTTCTTGTGCTTTGAGGTCACTATGCAGGGAAGTCAGGTGACCTGGACAGTTATCCATCCGATGACCAGGACGGCTCCTGACGGCGAGGAGACCCGGAGAAAGGGAGACTCCCCTCCAGGACGGGAGGCTGCGGACTCGCGAGATCTCATCATGCTCGGCACGGTGCGCACCTTAGAACTTAGGGATTGCTTCTTTCTAGAATTTCTCCATTTCATATTTTCAAACTGTGGTTGACCATGGGTAACTGAAACAGAAAATAAAACTGTGGATACGGGCAGACGGCTATACTGCAACTAGTATCAAGAACAGATAGATGCCTGGCCAGTTTAGCTCAATGGTTGAGCCTCAACCCACGCACCAAGAGGTCGCAGCCTGAATTCCAGGCCAGGGCACATGCCCAGGTTGTGGGGCATATCCCCAGTGGGGAGCATGCAGGAGGCAGCCAATTGATGTTCTCTCTCATCGATGTTTCGCTCTCCCTCTCCCTTCCTCTCTCTCTAAAATCAATAAAAAGAAAAAAATTTAAATAAAGAATAGATAGATCATAGATAGATAGATAGATAGATAGATAGATAGATAGATGGATGATAGATAAATAGATGATAGGTGATAGGTAGGTAGATAGATAGATAGATGATAGATAGATAGATAGATAGATAGATAGATAGATAGATAGATAAAAAGTAAGAAGGCCTAGGGTCTGGCCCTCAGATGCTGCTACCCAACAATAAATCATGTTTGAAAATGATCTGAGCTTTAGGTTCCTCACCTGCTAAATGAGTGAGTTTGTCTCGCTCACCAACCAAGGTTATTTTATAGCCCTAATGACATAATGCTGGTCCTGGGGTTCAGTGGTGCAGGATATGTTCAGTGACTTTTGGGCAAAAGGCATTTTTTTAGCTCTGTGCACTATCTGTCCTGGAATCGAAATAATCCGGGAGTTTTGCTCACTGTCAAACCCTCCGCATCTTTGGTACCGTCCATCACAGCTGACAGCTGAGCTAATTGCAGAGCTGAGGGCCCTGGTCTGAGCCGGCCAGCACTTCCTCCCATTTCCTGTCTAGCATCCTTCTGACGTCCATTCAGCTGGGACAACCAGCCCATTGTTTGAAAGAGGCCCAAGTTTCTTGAAAATCTAATTTTCAGGTCCATTCCCCTGGGTGAGCAGCAATAGTCACTTAATCCAGTGCTTCATGAAAAAAGAATTAGAATTCAGCTCACTCGCTGCAGTTGCTTATAGGGCTGCGCATGCAACAACTTTGAGTGTAAAACGGTCATCACTTCAAATCACCCAAACAACCCATCACTGGGGAAGCGCATTCATTGAATGGGTCTTTATACAGCCATGACGTCGTTATGGAATTTCTTTTTTTAGTACGAGGAAGTGATCATATTATAACCCTAAATAATAAAGCCAGATTCAAAATTGTGTAATCTGCATGATGTCAATTCCATGGAAGTGTGTTTTGTTAATCAGAATGGACTCCAGAGTCTATAAACAGAAAGCAGTGTTCGTCTGTCTGTGAGCTGTCCCTGTGCACCTGTGCAACAGACTTATAGAGGCAGGTCCTCAACTTCTCCAGGTCAGCTCAGATTTTAAAATATGTCCTCTGGTCACTTTGAGGCATGACCACAATCTCATTTTAATAATTAAAGTCCCCATTCCAGTATATAACACCATCCAGTAATACATTTAAGATTTGCCTTCTATGCCAACTTGGGGTCCGGCATTAAGCCTAGGGTCCTGCGTTGAGGGAAGGATCCGCGGTCTTTTTGTCTCCCCTTTTTTTCCCTATCTTCTTCTCCCTCACAGGGCTGCCTCGGGCCCTCCCACAGCTGAGGACATAATCTGGTCATTGTGCCCTCCGGGATAGCAGATTCGCACTGGGGATGAACTTCCCTAAGTTTATGAGAAGTCCCACTGGGGGCCCTCCACCTGCACCTCCAATCACCTGGCCCTGTCTCTCACCCCACCTTTCCTCTCTAAGATCAGCCCCTGATTTGGTGGCCCGGGTCTCTGTGGAGTCACTCAGCCAGTTCAAGCAGTCTGCTTGGATGAAATCACTTTCACAACCTCCTAGACCTACTCCAGGTAGGGCAGCATGAAAGGTGATTGATTTACTTGAGTAGCTTGTGTTGTACACAATACTACCATCACCTGCTCAAACTGTGGGCAAAGTTCTGTGCCGTATGCTAATAGGACGTCGAATGTCCCAGACATCATTCTTTTCCTCCAGATACGGGCAGTCCGGTAGGGAGAAAGATGTGCTCACAGATGACTGCAAGGACTAGCAGGATGGGACATCTGCCCTCCTCGACTTCCAAAGCCAGCGCGAACCCCAGCTCCATGCCTTCCAAGGTGGTCCCGAACCTTCCTGTGAATGTTCCTTTATCGCCAGCAAGACAGTGGATGCACATCGTGCAGGGTCTATGCCCCTTTGTTTCCAGCCATGGCTTATGACAGGAATACAATTAGGATGTGTTTGTTAATTCAATGATTGGAATAAATGTCATTTTTAAGGAGGTGATAGAACGTAAGAATCAGACCTTTTTTAAAATAAGCTTTTATTGATTTTTTAGAGAAAGAGAGGAAGGGAGAAGAGAGAGAGAAACATTGATGAAAGAGAAACATCGATCAGCTGCCTACTGGGGATCAAGCCCACAACCTGGGCATGTGCCCTGACCGGGAATCAAAGAGGGAGCCTCTTGGTGCATGGGATGATGCTCAATCCACTGAGCCACACTGGCAGAGCCAAACCAATTTTTCTTTTCTTTTTGTAGTGGCACGCTGTAATTGCCAACAATATGAAATCTGTATCTAGTTAACTTGTTTTAACTCAACTCCACTCTTTATTACCCTGAATGTGTGTCTGAGCTCTGCTCTCAGCCTGCGTAATGCTATGGTCCTCACTCATGGGGGGCTAGTATTTTCTGAGTAAGAAAATTTCGTTGAAGCATTGGGCAGCTGTGTAAGTCATCTGCAATGAGCATAATGACAATGGTAGACTTAAATTCTCTGCTACTTTTTAGCTGAGTGCCTTAGTAAGACCCTCTCTGAAACTCATTTGGCTCATCTAGATAATGGGTAAACTAAAGATGACTGCAATGCACTATTATACAAATTATGGTAAAAAAAAGCACCTGGAGAATAGAAGGGATTCCATAAATGTTTGTTAAAAAAAATGCAACTGACTTTATGAAAAGTACTAACTCTTTGGAGTAGCTACGAGGATCAACCCATTGTAACCAGTACAAAAATAGATGTCACTTCATGCAAACAGTTTCCTGTGAATCAACTTATTCTGTGGCACAACTAAAGCAAGATACGTTGAAGCAAAGCTTCCTTTCTGAAAGGTAAGGAGCCCCTTTTCCTACCACAGTTTATGTTCGAGGTGACGGCTATTTAGAGGGCACTGAGGTAAGTTACACAAGATGGCTGTGGGGATCCCTCCCATTTGAAATTTCACAAGTTTAAAAATTCAGAAATTCATCATTCATTCATTCAAAAAATAAAAATTTGCTGTGCGGGGCACTCTTCAGAAACAATCCTAAATGCACAGAATGCATTTGCATTAGAGGGAGATAAACAACAAACCGATACAGGAGTCATCCTTCAGGACGCTGGGTGACCGTACCTGCTAACGTAAGGCCGCACATTTTCAGTTGCAGCTGAGTTTTCAGCTTCATTTAGAGCAGTACCCAATTTCAGACCTCGGTGGCAGGAAGGCAGAGAGTTTCCAATTCAAGGGCTTCTGAGTCCCAGATGTTTCCTTTTCCTATAGCATTTAATATCATCTGACGCAGGTGGATCCCTGGTCAGCTGAGTGAACTAATTAATAGTTGATAAGTTTCATCAGGGACGAGTCGATTCTATCACAAGGGTTTGGTATCCTTCATCAAAGCGACCAGGTGATACTACGAATTTTTCCCTTCTGGTTGATCAGGAAGTCTAAATCCAGAAGGAGGGTTAAACAAGGTCAGAGGGATGGAAAAACGAGCCACAATTTGCATTCTAGAGCACGTGATTGTATCTATTTATACATACCTCCAGGGACACAAAAGAAACAGCCTTCAGTATGGACAGATAAAATTTTCAAAGACCCTAAAGAGCTAACTGAACCATTCAATCCACTAAGAGAAGGTTAGTAATTAAGAATCAGGTATTAGGTAACAACATTTGTTTGTTTCTTCTTATCAGGAAAACCTCAATACAAGTTAGACTTGCAATATTGACACATTTTGAGGTCATTTCCAAGACTGGATTAGACAATGTTTAAAGAGAGACGCGGAGTAGTTCTAGGTTTAGCGTAGAAGTAATTACTAGAGCAACTCTGTCTAGCCTGCCGATTTATTCCTGCACAAATAAAACCGAGACAAGCAAAACAGGGCCTGGGATTTCAGGTGGAGACAGGGAAAGAAGCCAGGATTTTGGCGTCACAGGTTTATATGCTTAACCCCTCCTAGCTGAGGGCTCTCTTAAACTTGAAGGCACACAGGAGAGGGAGATGTAGGTTGCAACGTGCCATCCATTCATTCCCTCATTGCTTCCATCAAAAATGTGCCCGTCACTGTCATGGGGCCTGAGCCTCCAAGGCCAGGAGCGTCAAGAAGGCAAGTCCGGCGATCGCTATAATAAAGCTGGGCTGTGGAAAGCACCATTAGGAAGTTCTGAAGTGTCGTGAGAGTTCATGGGGGGAATATATCACATTAATTTTCTTGTCAGAAGATCCCAGTGGGCTTGGTGGGCAGCTGTGCTCGGCTCAGCGGGCGCGGGAAATGGGAGGAAGAGCAGGATCACTGAGGCCCATTGTTCCAGACAATGCGCCCGGAGCTTCACAGAGGCTTGGTCTTGTCAGACGTTAACAGCAAACGTCTCTGCTTTTAAAGATGTGCTCACGGGTTGGACTCCAGCCCAGAGACCCGTGCTGGGATGCGGGACTTATGGTGCCCAGCAAACCAAATGAATTGGTCCTCCTACCTGGGAAGGCTGTGACCTGAGCCGTAGCACACCGTCACACCTCAGCCGACCTCGAAGGTGCTGACACCAGAGGCGGTGTAGTCACCTTCTCCGCACCTGGGCATCAGGTCCTTGCTAGAACGGGCATGCGTGGTGGTGCTTCTCCATGGACACCACTCTCGCCTTTGCTGTAGGCGCCACACCCTTTGGAGATAAGGACATTAGACCCAGTGGGTTTCAGTGCGTTGCAGGAGGGCCGTGGCTCTCCTGTCCTTCCAGTGTCTCTGTTATCCTGGGGTCTAAAACTCTTGGAATAGTCAGCTGGCTTGTCTTCGGGATAGCATCAAGGGGCGATGGGGGGAGACGTGAATATTTTTCTTTCGTCAGTTTAAGGAAGAGGGATTCTGGAGGACCGAATGGGTGACCAAAGCTTGAACTGGGAAAGGGAGCAGTCACAGCCCATGGGGTCTAAGGCAGAAAAGGGGTTGCGCCCCGGACCCGGATCGGAAACACTCCTGCTCCTATGGCACGTCGGTTGCAAGGCTTTGGGGCCCCGTAGGTAGTGTCCTTCCTCCCTCTCTTCATTAGGCCCCATTGTATACGTCAGTGAGATGTGCTAAATTCTGTGGAGGTGCTCCCAAGAAGCCTTTCCCTTTTCCTGGAGAGAGAAAAGACAAAAGAGACAAGCTAATGGCTAGGAAAGGAAGTGGTTGAAGTGAATTCCACGATTCCTTGGCCTTTTAAGATGACTAGTTAAATAATTTGATGCACAGAACCTGACCACCATTCTAATGAGCTCTGGTGATCTGGCACAGAAAATTAATGATAATAAATTAATTCCAGAGGATTCCATTTTATGTACTCAATTATTAATGGTATTACAGTGTTACTAATGGGTTCAATTATTAATGGCATGAATAATTAAGAAATCACATCCATGTTATGATGTACAAGGGTTCCACTGTTGAGCAAATTGCTCAGAATAAATAAATAAACATAGCAGGGTTCAGACCTATAATGTTCGGTCTTCGGTGTGTTCCTTGGAAAACACTGGTACATCTGTCAGCAGACTACATTTATTGATGAGGTCTCCGTTACCAGAACTCAGGCCCAACTCTTCTATTATGATAGAAACAAGAAAGAGGTGAGGTTGTGTTGGGGAGGGGACACATGTTTTGTTGGCAGTTCTGAATATTAAATTTTAATATTTAATTACCTTCAGGAAGGTATAGGGAGGAACCCGGCCTGAATTTGGTGTCCAAAGGAAACGAGAGGTAAAATCAAGGAAGGCTGTTTGAATTGAGTGAATTCAGAAGAACTGACCAGGTAGCCTAAAAAGTTTAACCTGAAAGACAGCGAAAGCTCCAAGATGTTATTTCCCCAACCAGGGCAAGTAGAAATGAGGGAGGGGCTTCAGGAAGGTGTACTTTCAAATGGGGCGATTTATTAGCAGTATGAACGGTATCATGCAACATTTCTCTGAGCCTCGGTTTTCCCATTTGTATAACAGGGATGCTATTTCTTCTGAAGGTTATGCAACAAAATGATTGTATGCATCATAATAAGGTCTCAACAAAGAACTCCTACTAGTGTTGTCGTTATTATTTTAGTTATTGTTATAAAATGTTATCATCGAACTTGCCCATTTTATGGGGGAAGAAATTGAAGCCAGCAGCACAGATGTGACTTGTCACTAGGTCTGAGCATAGGATATCTCCCCCTTGCCTCTCCAGTCACTGTCTTCTTCATCCTGCTCTTTTTGCAGGAGCCAACCTCCATGCGTGACATTCACAGGGCCCCGCAGCTGGCTGGGTGGGTTCCAGCAGGGCGAGCCCGCAGAAGCTGGGAAGAGGGAGGAGAGGGAGGTCGGGGCGTTCTTCTCTTGGCTCCTTCCCAGGTGGAGCACTGGCTGGGGGTCTCTATAGAAGACCGCAGGCACTCCCAAAGGCTGACCCACGTGACTTTCTCTTTCGGGAGCCCTGAAACTGCTCCCACGTCTGCATCCTTCCGGTCCACGGATGGTAATAAGGTGGCTGCTGCCAGCTCTGAATGACTGAATTGCTATCCCTTGATGGAATGTTCGATCCAACTATCCTACTTTGAGTGTTACTGCTGGACACAGAAATGATGCTGGTTCTCGGTGTAGAACCTTTGCTTTACCCTCCCTTCACTTTCACTCATATGTTCATTAAGTAATTGTCTCCTAAGAAACAAGCCCTGTGCTGGGCACAGGTGACATAAAAATCAGCAATGCATGCCCTGGCCAGTTTGGCTCGGCAGAAAGAGCATTGGCCCTCGGACCAAAGGGTCTCAGGTTTGATGCCGGTCAAGGGCACGTACCTCGGATGCAGTTCAGTCCCCGGCCCTGGGGGGAGTTGTGCAGGAGACAAGCAATTGATGTCTCTCTCACTTCTATGTGTTGCTCTCTCTCTCTCTCCCTTCCTCCCTCCTACTCTATCTGAAGATAAATGGGGAAAAAATGTCCTTGGGTGAGGACTTTAAAAAAAAATCAGCAATGCACATGTGCCCATTATGCTGAAGCATCACGTGACAGTACTTTGACACAGGAGTTAGCAAATTGACTATAGAGGGAACCAGACAGAAAATATCTTAGCCTTTGGGCCATACATCTTTGTTGCGACTCTTCAGTTCTGCCATTGTAGTTTAAAGTCAGCCATAAACAAATGGCCATGGCTGTACACCAATGGACTTTATGTATGTCCACTGAAATGGGCAATCCATATAATATTCACGTATCACAAAATATTCCTCTCCTTTTAATGTTCTTTCCAAATATTTAATAATATAAAAACTATTCTTAGCTTGTGCATCACACAAAGCCAGGCAGCAGCCCGGAGTTAGTCCACGGACGGACCATCGCTGGTTGAACTCAGTGCGAAATGTGAACTTGGTGCTGAGGGAACTGAGCTAAGGAGGCCAAGGGCTGGAAAGGGGAGTCAGGGAGGCGATATAGGGGAAGTGCCCTCTGCCCAGGGAATTACTGGTGGGTGGTAGAGTTGACTTGGCACAGAAAGGAAAATATCTTTAAGGCACAAGTAAGGAGCAAAAGCAAAAAATCTTAGACGTTCAAGATGTGCTCAGGGGGTGGGCCAGAGTGAAGAGACGTGGGGTGCAGGGGAGAGGAGGCCCTGGTGGGGGAGAGGCTCTGGGGGACCAGAGTGCCCTGCTGAGCGGTGGGACTTCAGAGGTGGAGAAGCCAAGGGGTGGGGATCCTGGGCAACCACATAAAATCCAGCTCTACCGCTTTCCAGCTGAGTGATCGCGGATCAGCTATTTAATCCATCTCAGCCTCGTTTCTTAGGTGCAAAGCAGTCGTAACAGCTTCGGCTCTCCGGCACTCTGAGGATTACATGGAATGAGGCACACAACTGTTCTCCACAGTGCTGGCTTCCAGGGAGTGCTCAATAAATTCGCTATTATTAGTATTATCATTATTAGGCTCATTGACCAGCCTGGCTCTTGCTGTGTTTTCTCTAGCCCAAATTCAGAGCGGTTCTGGCCACTGCTGATGGGATGGCGGCTGGACAGTTGGCAGCCCTAACGTGAACATAAGGTTTCCCTTTTAGCACCATGATCGCATCGGCCCTAACGAGCCTGCCAGGGCAGAAATCCACTTCTCTGGACCTGAACCTCAGCGGCCTCTGGTCATCGGCCATGGAGCCAAAACCACAGCTCCGCAGCCCAGACAATACCCTTCTCAGAATGTCCGCGTGCACAGCACACCTATTATTACTTTGCCTGTGAGTGTTCTTTTCTGTGTAGACTGCAAAGCGAGAGGACAAAGTTTGGGTAGTTCTTTTGAACACGTTTCTCTGCAGTCTCCTGGCTAGCAGCCTTTGGTGAACCTCCACGGTCCTCCGGCCCCCCAGTGGAGAAGACAGGCAGAAACACGGGACATTATTTGGTGATGTCACTTGAAATAAACAAGTTCTATCTATCCTAACAATGTCTAAAGTAATACAAGTGCCATT